CTCTCTGAGTTACTTACTTGTGGAAGTAGTTCAAGTAGGACTTCAACCCATTCAAACCTCCCATCTTTAAAGGTGCTTCGTTAGATGATGATAATTATGATGATGATGCTCAGATTCGGGGTTCACTTACAAGGGAACCATCGTAACCGTTGAGAGCTCCATTGAGGTAAGCTGTCGGAATTGTTGTTAGTAGGCGAAAACCCACAAGAAACACCAAGGCACAAACCAATGAAGAGAACGGCGTAGAGTCGAAACATGTGCGGCGTCCAGGGCGAATAAGCGCCAGACTGCGTCTGATGGGCAATGTGGACGGCAGTGTCGATCTCGGCAGCAGCATCATCACGGCGCTCTTCGGCGTGGCCCTCGACCGTGGGGTCGGTCTTCTCGTCGGACATGGTGGAAGATGAACTGCAGACAAGCAATACAGCTCGAGAGGGGTGGACCAAGAATTCAGGAACAGTGGAACGGTGGATAGATGGAGGTCTTGGAAGCCTTGGAAGGGTATCATCGATGGAGACAAAAGAATGGAGAGGCGATAACGCGGCCGTCTTAAATGTTCTGGCTACAGACAGTCATGCTTCTATGCAGCCCGTCAGAAGACAAAATCTTCTCCCCGCCTTCGGGCCATCATACCATCCAAACGAAGGTCCTAGGAGGCAGAAAATACGAAAGAACCTGGGGTGACACGACGGACCATCAGCCATGAGCCAACACCACGGGCGCGCTTGCAGTTTTCAGTCAACGTTAGCCGGGGTCTAGACAACGTCAATCCGGGGTAACAGACACACAACAACTTTCCGTCCATCCAAGAGATGGGGCCCATGGGGAGAGCAGACGAAAGGGTGGAAATGGCTGGCAGGGTTGTCAGACGTTGCATCAACTTAGACCGGCTTGTATCCGGATGGAGGTGCGGGGCCGGCCCCGACTTCCCCGGGCCCAATCAGAACCACACGGGGCTGGGGGAGACTATCCCTCTTGCGTCCTCATAGTGCGGAGTTGCCAGGAGTTGCCGGGGCTCTTGTAGGACAAGAGTGAAGAGTCTCTCTCGCAAAAGAAGTTGAAGAAGCGCCAGGACAGGATGGCCTCGGGGTCGTACTACACCGACACCACCTGACTCGGAGCTACCCCGAAACTGCTCCAGTCTTTCTGCCCCACGCTCCCTCGTCATATGGCGGGACAAACTTGAGTGAGCTTCACGAGAGGGAACGGGTGCTTGCAGTCTGCAGATTATTTCTGGCGTTTCCCTCGGCCTTGCGTCCGACGTGTTACTTCGCGTGGAGAAAGTGAGGACGAATAAATAAGGACTTGACCTTGGTAGCTAGCAAACTGATTGTACCCTCTTGCTTCTCTCTCTTCACATTCCTTGTCCCCTCTCTCTTTCCACCCCAAATCCGTGTCTCAGTCCATCGTTACCCCTCATCCAAACCGCCACGATGGCCTCTCCAAGTTTGTCTCTCCAGGCCAAGGAGGGAGTTCACGACTACGAGAACCCCTCCGTCTTCAGGCGCAACACCCTTCCTCCGCGCGCATATTTCATCCCAGAGACGTCCATCCTTCTCAATGGCGTTTGGGACTTCCACATGGCCGGCACTCCCGAGGAGGCGCCTTTGCCAGAAGACAAGGAGGACGAATGGGGCACCATCAACGTCCCTGGCCATTGGCAGCTTCAAGGGCACGGCTTCCCGTGGTACACCAACACACAGTTCCCTATCCCAGTGAACCCGCCATACGTGCCCAGCGAGAACCCCACGGGCACCTACAGACGAACATTCCACGTCCCTTCCACGTGGGATGAGAAGTCGCAATTGCGCCTCAGATTCGACGGCGTTGACTCCGGATACCACATCTGGGTCAATGGCACGCTCATTGGCTTCGCTCAGGGCTCGCGGAACGCGTCCGAGTTTGACGTCACAAGCATCCTCAAGAGGGATGGACCCAATGAGCTGTTTGTGAGAGTTTACCAGTGGTCCGACGCAACTTACATCGAGGACCAGGATCAATGGTGGCTTTCGGGTGAGTGGTCGCTTCGCTCGTCAACCTGATTGAATAACCATCTAACGAACTAATCACAGGTATCTTCCGCGATGTCACTCTCCTCGCCGTACCCGAGCAAACAAGAATTGAGGACTGGTTCCTCCGCACTGATCTCGATGAGAAGTACGAAGACGCGACTTTCCTGGCGACGGTCGACGTCAAGACCGTCGAGAAGGGCACCGTCAAGCTCACTCTCAGCGAGCTGGGCAAGAACGGCGGCGCTGTCATTGCGACCCAAGAGGTAGAGGTTACGGCCGACAACACCAAGGTCGACATCAGCATTCCCGTCACCAACCCCAAGAAGTGGACTGCCGAGACCCCTTACCTCTACCGGGTTGACATCACCCTGGGCTCTCACGCCGTTTACCAAAACATTGGTTTCCGCAAAGTCGAACTCAAGAACGGTCTGATTTCCGTCAACGGTACCCCCATCCGCATCAGAGGTGTCAACAGACACGAGCACCACAACAAGTTTGGCCGCGCCGTTCCTATCGAGTACGCCAAGCGCGACCTCCTCATCATGAAGAACCACAACATCAACTCTCTGCGATGCTCACACTACCCGCCTGACCCCCGGGTCTTCCAGCTTGCGGACGAACTCGGCTTGTGGGTCATGGACGAGGCCGATCTTGAGTGCCACGGTTTCTACGATGCTGTCGCACGCCCCCAGGACGTCGACGAGGCGTCAGACTACGAAGCGCGCAAGGCCATCACCTTCCCCCTTGCCGGAAAGTACACCAGCGAGAACCCCGAGTGGCGTGAGGCCTACCTCGACCGCATGGTTCAGCTGGTCCAGCGCGACAAGAACCACACCAGTATCATCATGTGGTCGCTTGGTAACGAAGCTTTCTACGGCGAGAACCACAAAGCCATGTACGAGTACGCCAAGAACTTTGACTCTGGTCGCCCGGTCCACTATGAGGGCGATGTCAAGGCTGAGACTGCGGATATGTACTCTTACATGTACCCGCCCATCGATCGCCTGACCAAGCTGGTTGAGACTGAGGGTGTCAAGGAGGACGGTAGCTTCGAGAAGCCCGTTGTTCTCTGCGAGTACGGTCACGCCATGGGCAACGGCCCTGGTGGTCTCGATGACTACATTGAGGTCTTTGAGAAGTTCCCTCGTCTTCAGGGTGGCTACATCTGGGAGTGGGCGAACCACGGTATCTGGAAGGAGGATGCCGATGGTAAGGGCTACTATGCCTACGGAGGAGACTTTGGCGAGCGTCCCCACGACGGCACATTCGTCATGGATGGCCTCCTTCACAGCACTCACGACCCCACTCCCGGTTTGATCGAGCTGAAGAAGGCCTACCAGCCCCTTCATCTGTCAGTTGAGGGCAACCAGCTTGTCATCAAGAACAAGTACGACTTTGTTGGTGTTGACCACCTCTCCTCCACCTACAAGGTCGAGGAACTCGGCGAAATGTAAGTCATTCTGGAGGAAGCCCTTCTGATCTTGAGAAGCATGATGACTGACAATTTGCAACACAGCTCCGCACTCATCGCTGCCGGAAACCTCGAGATCCCTAAGATCGCCGCCGGCGAGACCGTCAAGGTCGACCTGCCCTCGAGCCTCGCGAACATCAAGTCCGACAAGGAGGTCTACATCACCGTGACTTTTGGTCTCAAGGACTCCACCAACTGGGCCGAGCCCTCGCACGAGATCGCTTGGATCCAGCACAAGCTGTCCGGTGTTGCAGCGGCCCCCAAGCTGCTCAACAGCACCCTCACTTCGAAGCTGCAGGTTCAAAAGGCTCGCGCCAAGACCACCGTCTCGGGCTCCGACTTTGCCATCACCTTTGATACCGCCCGTGGATACATCACATCTTGGACTGCTGCCGGCGTGCCTCTTCTCGAGAAGGACGAAGCCACTGGCGCGGCCATTATCCCCAACTTCTGGCGCGCCCCTACAGACAACGACAACCCCAACGATGCCCCCTACTGGGTTCGTTTCGGTGTCGATGCTTTTGACAGCTTCCTTCGGTCATTCAAGATCAATGAGTCGGCCGATAAGGTTGAGGTCATCACAACTACCTACCTCTCCCCTCGCGTCCTCGACTGGGGTTGGGAGACCACCACTACTTACACCATCGATGCTACCGGCCGCCTCACCGTTGCCGTTGACTTGAAGCCCCGCGGCATCAAGCCCACCCACATTCCCCGCGTGGGCCTGAACCTGCGTCTGCCCAAGTCGCTCAACAACGTCAAGTACCTTGCCCTCGGCCCCGGCGAGTCATACCCGGACAAGAAGTCCAGCCAACACCTCGGCGTCTTCAGCGCTACCGTGCCAGAGCTGCACCAGCACTACGAGGTTCCTCAAGAAGGCGGCAACCATCTGGAAACCCGCTACGTCAAGCTCACCGAGGACCACGGCCGCGGTATTCGCGCAACGCCGGCCGACGTTGCTGTCTGGTCCGAGGAGGAGTGGCGCCAGTTCAGCTTCCAGGTTAGTCGCTACACTTCCGAGACTGTGCATAAGGCCGCGCACCCGTGCGATCTCGTTGAGGAGGATGCGACGCTTCTGCGTCTCGATGCCCGTGTTGCTGGTGTTGGTACTGCCGCTTGTGGTCCTAACGTCAGGGAGGACTTGAAGGTGCATGTCGGAGAGTTCAAGTTTGGATTCGTTTTGGAGAGAGTTGGATTCTAATGACTTTGTGATGATTTTGGGTTACGATGAAATGGTTACACTGGTGTCTTGAGACCTGGACACATCAATGTCACGGACAGCTAGAGCTAGACGTGGAATGAATTATTACGACTTTCAACCAGCTCTTGTAAATCTTATCAAAACCGCGAAGTACTGCCAACTTTGAAAACTCAACAAGCCTATGCCCAAGGTCGATCGAGAGAGAGCCTTGGAGGAGAGCGCTTGCGATCCGAGGGTCCGGGTGGGCGGTGGGCCTCGCGCAGACGGCGCGCACGAGTGGTATAACAACAACTCTTCAGGCAATCTTATCATAACCGGCCGGTTGGCCCAATGGCAAGGCGTCTGACTACGACTAAGCGGTACCCCGACTTGGCATGTTATCAGGAGATTCTGGGTTCGACCCCCAGGCTGGTCAATTCTTTTGCTTTCCTCGCCAAGTATCTTCTTAATCCTTGGTTTTTTAGTCAAGTCGAACAAGGATTACAGTTTTGCTTGTCCTTGGTGGCCCTCGGTAACTTCCCAATAAGAAATCATAGCGTTCCAGCTAGGAAACGATCCAGACTTGTGGTCGATCTCAACAAGCGCCCCGCTACCGCACATTGCATGTTCTCCTGTGGGTTTTCCTCAACTGCAATCGTCAGTCACCCTGTTGGCTCCATGCAGCGGTCATCTTAGAGTTGACTTGCTTCTTCAATTCAGATGGCGCAATCAACAGAAGCTGAAGACTAAACCTCTGAGCTCGCTTGCTGTTCGTCTGCTCGGACTCAAGCCTTTAGTTCTTTAGTCTTTTGACTAGGTAGACAGCGGGGATGTTACGACGCTGACCGGCGATCGACATTACTGCAGGTAGCATTCGACTTACGTTTCGAGACTTACCATATCATTTGTAAACTATTCTCATGAATCCAAGCAGGAAACCTGATATTACGCACCTGAAGACCATGCCAAGCAAGCTAGGCACCTTTTCTACAACGTTGGATGCAGCCCCCGCCTCTGCGATACGACACAACTGGGCCGTTCCGTCTGGTCCGCGCTGGGCGTACTCCAGACTCGGAGTTTATTGGACTTCATTTGGAAGTGTTTGAGGAGATCATTTGCCTGGCAATGCATGTTTCGTCAGAAAGGAAGCAGCCGACACCGGGATGTCTTCCATGTAGCCAAGCACTGTCTCCTCGTCTTTAAACCACCATCCAGCTAGATGATTATCGTCGACCCTTCATTCCTTTCTCCACCAATTTCCAGAGCTAGCACTTGGTTCACTTAATGCAGTTGTTCACATTTCATCATGAGATTGAAAGCCCTGGGGATATTCTCTTTAGCCGCAATAGCGCTCGCGACTGCGTCTGAAGGTTTATACACTCAACTTCCAACCAATCTCACAGAGGTCGACGTCATAATTGCAGGAGGTGAGTCTACTCTAGGTATCTTCAAGTGGCCCGATTCTTATTTTGAACATAGGAGGCACTTCTGGCAGCATTGTTGCCTCACGACTCGCCGAAGCAGACCCAGCCCTGTCAATTCTGGTTATCGAGCAGGGCCAAGATAGCTTCAATGCCACAAACGTCATCTACCCGGCGTTATTCGAAAGGAACACCCTGCCCGATTCCAATACGGCTCTGTTCTGGAAGGCCAACAAGTCGCCGCAGCTGGCGGACCGTGAGCCAGTTGTTGAAACAGGCGGCATTCTCGGGGGTGGATCAGCTATCAACTGGATGGTTTACACCCGTGGGCAGTGGGATGATTACAACTCCTGGAACACGTCGGGGTGGTTTGCAGACGAATTGTTGCCACTTTTACGGAAGGTATTCATCTTCTCATTCTTTAAGCTCAATCACGATGGCTGAAGCGTATCTCAGGTGGAAACGTATCACGGAGCAACAACTAATGAATCCACTCATGGCTATGATGGACCAATTCATGTGTCAAAGGGAACGCACCAAGCGCCTCGAGCTGAAAGAGGCTGGATTGATGGGGCCGTCGAAGCAGGTTGGTCGGAGGTAGAAGACCTCCAAAGCCTGCACTCTAACAATGGCTCCGGGACCTGGTATCGATATGTCTCGCCCACTGACGGTCGTCGGCAAGATGTCGCTCATCGTTACTTGCACCCACTTCTACAAAGTGGCGAGTATCCAAATCTGCATGTGCTGGTAGAAACTCAGGTCCTCCGCATCCTGTTTGAGGGAGAAGAGAATCGTGCCGCTGGGGTGGAAATCCGACCCAACCCAGCATTCGCGAAGTATGCCCAAGAAAACAGCATGTCGGTAGTCAAGGCGAGAAAGCTGGTGGTTGCTTCCGCGGGGTCTTTCGGAACTCCATTGCTTCTTGAACGGTCTGGAGTTGGTGATCCCACTGTGCTGGAAAAGGCGGGTATACCGATGATCGAAAGTCTCGATGGAGTGGGCAATGACTTCCAAGGTAAGTCTGATCTCACGCTTGGGGCGATTGCTCGTGCTTCAACGGATGCCTAATGTCTGACAGATCATCATTTCGTTGGCTACGTCTACCGCACGAACCTCGAACAGAACGAGACCATAAACGGAATAGCCCGAAACGACAGAGGGCGAGACGTGAATGCGATGATTGCCGCCAACGACAAGCAACTTGGTTGGAACGGCCACGATGCCTCTAGCAAGGTCAGACCGTCCCCAACTGATATTGCAGCTTTGGGACCAGAATTTCAAGCTGCTTGGGACAGGGACTTCAAGGACTCACCCAACCGTCCTCTCATGATCATGGGACTCTTCAACGCCTATTTTGGCGACCCTGCTTCTCTTCCTGATGATGCCGAATACGTTACCACGGCACCTTGGGTAACATACCCATACGCGAGGGGCCACATCCATGCGACTGGGCCAAGCATTGACGATCAGTACGACTTTACTACCGGGTGGCTACTTGACGAGAACGACATCGACCTGAAGAGCCATATCTGGGGGTACAAGACACAGCGAGCCATCGCTCGTCGAATGGAAATCTTCAGGGGCGAGCTCGCACTAGGGCACCCTAAATTCGCCAACACATCGAGTGCCGCTGTTATTGAGGTGGCTGAAGGACCGATTACTGATTCGATTGAGTACTCTGCGGAAGACAACGCTGCAATCATACAGTACATACGTGAGAATATTGGGACGTCAAGGCATCCTCTTGGAACCTGCAAGATGGCACCCCAGGAGAATCGAGGGGTTGGTAAGTAGTTGTGCTAAGCTTAGAGGTTTGGCCTTGTGCTGATATCAGATGCTACAGTTGACCCCAATTTGAACGTCTACGGTGTGTCCGGGTTGAAGATTGCGGACCTCAGCGTGCCAGCTCAGCAAGTCGCTGCTAACACGTACAATGCTGCACTGCTTATGGGGGAGAAGGCTGCCGAGATCATTATCAAAGAGTTGAGACTTTATTCATCTAGGTAGAACTAAAGCACGCTTAGCAATGAGATATTGAGTGAAGTGTGTGAGAATAAGCTGACAGGAAACGCAATCGCGCGATCTGATTGAAGACGATAAGTTGGCACCATCAAGCCTAAATGCCGTAAGACGACTGTTCACTCTGGAATTGATGGCCATCTTGCAAACGCAAAATTATATGACAACATGCGCTTACTCACATTGAGTGTGCAAAGCTTCAGGCATCGACCAAAACGTTAATATGTCTGAGTGAGATGCATCAATCGCTGCCTGCACCACTCGTAAGCAGTGACGAGTCGAGCTCAGGCATCCGTTATCCGCTTCTAGTTCAAAAGAGGTGAAATGCCAAAGTTTAATCTGATGTGAAATCGATACACTCTATATATTCTATTGCATTCCCTCTCCTATATATCCACCAAATACACTTCATCTACCGGTCTTCCGCAATGATCGTCACCGAGCTTGGGGCCGTCGGCGTCAAGCCCGGTCTCGACATCATGGATGAGTCTACTCCGGAGGGCCGGATATATATGAGCGTCTATCGTAAGATTATCGTGGCACCTGGCGCTCCCCACCGATTGTTTCTGGGAGTCGAAATTGAAGATCCATCCATGTCCTGGGGCTTCTTCGATTGGGACTCAATTGAGCACCACGAGAAGTTTGCCAAAGAGTAAGTGAAGCTAACACAACCCATTTTACTAAAAGTCATTTCTGATGAATGAAAGACACGGTGCGGAACTGTGCAAGGACTTGCACAAGGTCCTGACATACGGCGAATTCTGCAAGCACATCACAGCCACGCCAAGCCTCCCAGATGCGCTGAAATCTGTCGTGACTGATGTCTTCATCATCTACTTTCCTTCAGACATTACCCCTGAGGCGAAAGACACGGCGACTACACGACTTCAGGAGATACTCGAGGAAGGTTTTGGGCAAGTGCCTGAGGTGACCGCCACTAGCTATGGCTGGGGAGTTCAAGACAATTTCCCCGTGAAGGGAGGAGATCCCAATCAGACAGGTTCCATCTTGACAGCGTTTGTCGGCTGGTTCAATGTTGAGGCAAACAATACCTTTCATCAGTCAGAGAGTTACAAGGAGATTGAAAGAAAGCTTGAAAATATGGAAGGATTGATCAAATTGAGACCTTTCCGCCTCAGATGCACAGTCCTTGAGAGGGAGGCACAACAGTAGATTAAGCAAGCGAGTTGGGAGGCAACAAATGTTTGAGGAAAGGGACAGCTTCACAGGAACTATACAGTCGCTACAGATTGCGCATTATTTGAATCTCTTTACGTACTATCACACGGTCATTTACACACATTCAATATAACAGAAGCACTTGGAAGCAATCGCTGGTGCGATTCATTCCTGACCATGTGCTGCAAAAGTAAATACCTAAGGCAATCTGAACTCCATGCTATCCGATTTGTCACAATTTCCTTCCCAAGGTAAGTACATGAAGACACCTTAGACCGTGGGTGTGGCCACCGCAGGAGCTACCATATCAGCAAGCGGCGCTGCCGTTCTCTTCATGCCACTCGGCCCGCACGTGCTAACCTTCAAACCAGCAGAGATGGACGAATAAGCTGCAGGAAGAAGATTGTCTGCGCTTCCTGCTTTTAGGGTTCCGACGTAAGGGTTGAAGTTGTAGATACCACAAGGGCAGTGGTCCAAAATCTGCATGCCAGCAGTCCCAGAGAGAATGGAGGATCCTCCGCGAGCCATATTGAAGGCAACCGTACCCGGCTTCATATCAACAGAGAACTTAGCAGCGCCAGCAGGAGCTTGGAAAGTCTGGCTGTTGCCGGCAACATTGACAGTTAAAGATGCGGCTTCCTTGAGTAGCGTCACGATGTAAACCTTGTCTTCCATGGTTTGCCATCCATCCGGCCTACCCTTGAAGTAGTTGCCAGAAGAGTTGTTGGCATCACTCATTGTGGTATCAGTCGCGTCGCAATTGATTCCTCGGAGAGTCGGACGGAACCAGTAGACAACCTTTTCCTCGGTAATGTAGGTCTTGGGATCACTAGCGCCGGCTTTGAACGCCTTGATGAACGGCTGTGCCATGTCGAGCCATCCGTTGTGGGGGAATCCGTAGACCCATTTGGAGTTTCCGTCATCACCGTGCGGGCTGTCAAGACGTCCAACATAATGGCTTTCGCCGTAGTCATTCCACGTCACAATCTCCAGGAAGCGCGGCTTCAGCGAAAGAATCTGCTGCCACCGGTCGTACCAGAGGGTATCGGAGGGAAAGACCCAGTTCTTGGAATACGGGACCTCGGGACCAAAGTGCGTGAAGAACCACGGTGATACTGGTGCAATATACGGCTTGCCTTTGAGTGCCGTTGTGTACGCCGCATCGCCCTGTTGGACTGAGACGTTGCCTCGACCGTCAGGAGCTTTGTTGAGTCCGTTATTGGGCCAGCCGAGCCAGTTGAGAGCACCGTCGACAACGCTGAAGTCGGTGCCGAATTCCGGATGGAAATTGGGTGCCCAGAAGACGGGAACACCCGCAGCACTGCGCATGGCACCGACATCCAGCCCATCTCCCGCAAACGAAGACGCAAACGCCTTGCCGTCAACGATGAGCTGAGCAGGACGGGAGGCGTACTTGGCGATCATCTGGCCGACGCGAGTTGCCTCGCTCGTTTGGTACCAGTTGAAGTCGAAGGAGATGAAGACCTTCATGCCGTTGTTGGCAGCAGACTGGTAAGCCAAGTCGAGCTGAGCCTCGGTGTATGGGTCGACGCCAATGTTAAGAGCAAAGGCGTCAATTCCAGCCGCCTTGGCGTTCTGCATATCGGCGTCGTACTCGCTAGGCGAGCTACGTGCACCGACGATGCCAATCTTTCAATAAGATTAGCAAGGAGCTAAAAAGATGGAAGGATTGAGTCAAACTCACCATGAAGTGACAAAAGACAAGCTTCTCACCACTGTCTTGGCGAAGGCTGAGAGTGTCGCCATGGGTGGATGGAACCGTTAGGCAGGTGGCCAATTTGAACATGGCCGCAGCCAGAAAGGCGTAGAACAGACGAGAGAGAATCATTCTGGATCGTTGCAATGTCTACAATCCGCGTCTGCTAGTTACACAGAAGAGAAATGAAGAGATCGAGGAAGTTCTCTTTATAAGTTCGGATCACTTGGCGCCTTCCGAACGCTCTGTCTCTCGCTTTGGCTCTTTCTTCGTCTGTTCTCCCGTTTTTCCTGCTCTTTCCCGTCCGCTGACAAGCGTGGCAGGCCGCACTGGCATTCCGCATGCTTCCAGGGTCAATGTCATGGAGCTCTGCATACCGAGTTTGTGTCCGAGATGCTTCGCAGATCTATCACCTCACTTCAAAAAGAAGGTCCGAATCGTATGTCTGCCATTAGTCTGATGATGCCACAATGTCCACACCGACAACCCTCTTATTCCGGGTAATTGCTCATGGGATGTCGGCAGTTTGCATGATCAGGCACAGAGCCTTCATGCGGTTAACTGCAGCAAAAACACCAGTAGCATTAAGGATCTTATGTCACGTTGCAGCCATGCCTTACCTTGGTATACGTAGCCTCTAAGCACATACTGATCCCCGGAGAAAAGGGTTGAAGTCAGGATATATCTCCGTTTGACGGGATTCGAAAGAACAAACAGAAGGGTTTGCTCTTTTCATACATCATTCCGCATAAGCGACAAATCAAGGGTAACCACATATGTCACAGGGCCCCAGAACACCGTTCCTAGAATCTTTGAAGTCATGCTTATTGCCTCCTTTGGGCGCTGAATGGGCAGTTGAGGATCCATGTCATTCGGCCCGCGCTGACTGCTGGTCTCCGAATACAACCCTCCCAACAACCCGACTGGCGTCTCCTTGGCCAAAGTCATTTATCTGGGGTGCATATGAAAAAGGTGGAAACTTGTGTCCAGACCGTGCCAGATGTCGGTAAGCACCACATGACGGAATGTCTCGTCGGCTTGCCACATGGTTGGTGTCAACACCCGGCAGTGCGGAGTAATCGAGACAAATCACAAGCACAAAACATGAACGGCCCTCCAATCAACATTAGAATCAAGCTCTACTGCGGTAGTTGACCTCCCTGCAGGTGGTATTATCCCGACGCCAAATACTCCTTAGATGGGATGATTGCAACGGAGAAAATCGGGGTTTGCTTAAACCGACGTCAACTCTCCGCGTCGTCGGGTTGTGATCACAGAAGAGAAAACAAAGAGTATCATATGCAAAAGATGCAAAATGTTCATGCTTATACAGTATTAGAGTTGGCCAAGACCTAAGACCGCGCACAGCATTAGACTGTGACGAAATACCGTCATCATCTGCAAGACTATGCCCGGTCATCATAGAGAATACCACTGACTGGCAGTAAAACGTAAGCACAAAGCATGCAAACAGTGAGTCAGTCAGGACTGCCCAATTCTCGGCAAATCATCTTATGGTTTGGACCTTTGGTAGAGATGGTGCCCTTGAGATGTAACCCTCTTTTGGTGCAATCTTGTGACAACGATCAGGCCGCTCAAAATCTTGCAGAGAACTCGCCACAAGGTCTACGATTTTTTGCCCTATTCCCTGTCTTGAAAACAATTTTCATGGCATCTTTTAGGGCATAGTATATGTTGTAGACCAAGGACCTTCTCTTTTGGGATGCTTTGATGCGTAGTTACCGGCATCATTTTACCCAATCGTGTGATTGATCTTTGCCTCCTTTACAATCGTGAAGTTCCACGCATACAACTACAATCTAGCAGAGCAACCGACAGACTTCGGCCCTTTTTCTTTTTAGTCCAGTTCATGGGTTACTTTCCAGCCCGGCATATGGTTGCGGTAGGGCTTTCATGAGAGTTGAAGTATCAGGCGGCAGGCGCGCATCTTCATTGAAGGCAACCCAATAACATGATCTTCATTTCATCCAATTATTCCCCCAATGATGGATATGCCGCTGAGGAATCTCGCTGTGTCTGATGATGTTAAGCTTTCGGCCCTTCAACCTCTGGTTGCACTTTGCACTTGTGATTGATGCACTTCGCGCCGTGACCGCCCCGGACTTCCGTCCCATCTGCAGGTGGTAGGACTCAGAAGCTGTACCATCACACTCTATTCGTGATGTCACATTGTCTCAACTTCAAAGAATGTTGGAGAAGTTGTTGGGAGTTCTGTTGTGAGCCTGGGCAATCGAATTTCGAGTCTTGTTACTTACCGGACAGCAGAACGACAGACGTCGGTTAAATATCATTGATCTGGACGTGCAGCCTTGGAAAGACCTAGATCGAAGGAAGCCTACCTGAGTCGAAGTATCACGCAATACCTTGTAGAAACTATTGGATCCCATTAAGCCATCAAGCATAGTCCACCAGGTTCCGAAATGGCGCCAATATCTCAGATGTGTGTCTCTTTGCTAGCGTGGATGCTCTTGCCGGTATTGGCTCAAACGACTAAGCCAGTCTATGCACACTTCATGGTAAAATCATCACCTACTAAGTTGAAGAATCCTCAGAACTCTCTTTGACCCGACGAATAGCTCGGCATCGTCGAAAACTACACTATATCAGACTGGCATCTCGACATGACCCAAGCCAAAGAAATCGGCATCGACGGCTTCGCTCTGAACTGCGCCCCAGCCCGCATTGATAGCTACACCCCCAAACAGCTCGCAAACGCGTACCGAGCAGCTCAAGACCTCAACTTCACCGTCTTCATCTCATTTGACTTTGCGTACTGGTCCACGGCCGACACGGCAGAAATCACCTCCATCGTCGGCAACTACAGCGCGCACCCGGCCCAGGCGCGGTACGACGGCGGCGCCATCGTGAGCACCTTTGTCGGTGACAACATGAACTGGACCGCGGTGAAGAATGGCGTGCCACCGGGGCAGAAGATTACTGCTCTCCCCATGATCCAGGATCCTGCATGGCTTTCAGTTGCGAATACGGGGCTCGATGGCGCGTTTTCGTGGTATGCGTGGCCAACAGATGGGGGGAATAGTATCATTCCTGGCCCGATGACGACTATTTGGGACGATCGATATCTGGCGAATCTGGGAAACCTTCCGTACATGGCTCGTAAGTTCTTGAACTCTCATCTTTCTCCGATCTAGGTAGAAATAGTATAATGACACACCGCAAAGCCGTTTCGCCCTGGTTCTCAACCCATTTCAACACCAAGAATTGGGTCTTCATCACGGAAGAGCAGCCCACCATCCGATGGGAGCAGATGCTTGTCATGAAACCTGCGCTAGTTGAGATAATCAGCTGGAATGGTGAGTCTTTGCTGCATCTTGTTATTGATGCATGACTAAAACATCATGGCAGACTTTGGTGAAAGCCACTACATCTCGTAAGTAAATCTTTACTTTCCAAATACCAAGTTACTGACAACCTTGAGCGACTCCCAACCAAACCACTCGGACGACGGCTCCTCCGCCTGGGCAACCGGCTTCCCCCACGAGGGCTGGCGCACCCTAATGAAGCCCTACATAGCAGCCTACAAATCCGGTGCCGACAAGCCCACCGTCATCAGCGACGAGCTGGTCTACTGGTACCGCCCAATGCCCAAGAACACGGTATGCACAAACGACACCCTCGGCGCCCCCAACGGGATCCAGTACCTTGCCGACGTGGTCTTCGTGGCCACGATGCTCACGCAGCCCGCCACGCTCACCGTCACTAGCGGAAGCCAGGCACCCTTCACGGTGCCCGTCGGCGCGGGGATACAGACCACCAACTTCACCATGGGCATCGGGGCGCAGAAGTTTTCAGTGTCCCGGAACGGGAGTCCGGTTCTCGGGGGCACGAGCAGCAAGGAGATTAGCGGCGCTTGCCAGAAGTATAACTTCAACGCTTTTGTGGGTTCTTTCAAAGCTCAAGCTGACCGCAGTGTTTTCGGCACGTCTGGAGAGTAATATGGTTTCGTTGAGGCAATGCTGTAGCTTTTTGGGTCAACATGGGCAGCAATAATTGATCAGTAATTGTAAACCCTAGTCCTCATCTTGCAACAAATAGTGGCGTAATCGCTGGAAGGGTATCAAGGAATCGTAAGTAAGAGCTCTGCTTTCCGGAGCCAACGAATTCTTACTGGAGCGACCTGCTGGCGGAATTTTATGCGTACATGTAATTTGAGCAGATAGATCTACGGAAGCCTGTTCAGAGTCCTTCGCGCGTGTGCCTATCATACTCCAGACGAAGAAGTCTATACCAAGTGTTTCCAGGTCTCGCTCACTATACAATATTCCCGTCACCGTGCCCCCTCTACTCGGCATGTGTTCGCCGATCACAACGTTGAACTTCCCCGATGCCACAAGGCGAGCCTTACTGATCGTCCATTTTGAAGGGGACTTTGCAACCGTGTCTGCACGTCCCACCACAGCAGGTCGAGCTCTCGAAGCCGTATGCATAATGATCTCGTAGATCGGTTCTGGAATTCACCACCTGCGGAAGGTGGATGAAGCTGGTGTAATCCACCGAATCCGATGCCTGACCGTCAACAGATGGGAATAGGGACTGCCTTTCATTGTTCCAAGGTTGGAACAGGATATTTAGACGATTTAAGAGCCTTCCGTAGACGGGAGACAGGACAACGGACAAGGGGAAGAGGGGGGGGGGGGTGTGCTCGAAAGGACTTTTGGACGGAGACATGGGAAAACACCCCGTGCCTGGCCCTATCAGAAGCTCAGAAGAGAGAATAAAAAGGCACGGTGCCGCGGAATCGCCCTTCAATCGCCTGGTCCGTCCGGCACATCAATGCTCTTCCCCGGATTCTGTACGCCAATCTGGCTTAATCACGAATCTCGGCTTCGCAGAACCCCCCAGGACATCGGTATCGAAATGCTTCCCGTTGCCGTAATCGTAATTCTCGGATGTCAATCCCTTCGTGGGGTACTGCGTTGCTGAGTTTGGGTTCGCACACCCCCCTGGACTCTGCCGCGCGCTGTAATCATGAGATGATGTTTGACCTGCAAGGAGGGAACACGTTTGACGGCACGCGGCGTCCCGGCAGGCTTCGGCACCATGTCTCGTCGCAATCATGGGCGACTCCGAAGGCCATTGTGGCCATGACCATATCCAAGGAAGCTTTTGAGGGAACCTGACTTGGTTTCATCACGGATATCGTTGAAAACGCAGTGAAAGGTTTTGACAAATGTTCATATTCTTGACACATAGATTGGCTTTGCTTTGTGCAAATGTTGCGTAAGCTCTGTACATAGCGAATCCAAGCCTAAACCGAGTGCAAGCACGAAGACGCCCCAGGACTCTGTCGACCGTCCCATTAATACCATGAACCAGAAAATGAGACATTGAGAACTGGGCAACAAAGATGAACTGCTAAATGGACAAGAATCATAGCATAAGGTAATTGACAAAATGAGGAAAGAGGTCCGTGTTGGATATGTTTGTAGTTATAAGAAAAAGTCGTAGTAGTAGGATGTGGTATGGTATACTGGAAGAGAAGTAGTAGTAGTAGGTAGTGGTGAGGGTGTCCTCTGTTTGGTATCATTGTTGTGAGTTTTGCGTCTGCCGAGACAGCGCGTATTCGTCCACGTTTTGCTCTTGTTTTTTCTTTTTCCATGTGCCATTTCTGCGCCGTTCAAATCATCCACTCGATGGTTTTGGGAAGATATTATAAAAGAAAAAAGTAACCCGCCCGCCTTGTCATTTGTGGTCCTTGGACCAATGTCGTAGGGAATCGTTGCTCACTCAAACAAGGGCAATCTTGACATCACCCGCTTGAGGTTGAGATTGCGGCAGGACGGCCTCGCGTTGATGATCCCGCTTCTTCTTCCCAAGTCTCTCACACCACTCCTCGGCACTGACAATGGTGCCATCGAGGACTCCACTGACTTGCGACATCATGTCGAGACCCTCTTTAGCGAGAACAAGTACACGATGGGCGCCCTCGCGCATCGCCTCCTGGTCACCAACCTTCTCTCCCTGTTGGTGTTCAACCATGCTAGCATAGCGGAATCTCTGTGGCAGAGTAGTCAGGTGACGGCGAACCAACAGACGGGCGTTTTCGGGTAAGGCCCCGCCAGCGTATTTGGATACAGTCACGATGACATTCTGTAGTGTCTTGAGAACGTCACCTTTCAGTGAGGCGATCTTGGCCGCCAGGATTGTGCGCTCCTGTTCAGACATTGGCTCGGGTTGGCTGTCAGCCATGACATGGTCGCCATCGTTGGTGGCTGCGGTCTGCTCTTCCTGTTGGGGTTGACCCGGCTTCTCGAATTGTTCAAGAGTAGTCTTGAGATTGTTGATAACCCCACCAATGTGCTCGTTCGCCCAACGCAGCCATCGAAGACAATACTTCAAGCTCCTGAGACTCTCGTCGCTCATAGCAACACTGAGACCCGAGGTTGACATGATTAAGCGAGATTGCCAAGCCGCATTTGATGATGTGGGTCGCTCGGCCTTTTCGTTCTCACTGTAGGCCGGGGACCGGTAGTCGTCATACGCTGGCAGGGTATCGATGGTGCTGGCTCGTGAAAGTCGGCGGTCGTGCTTGAAGACGTATGGATCACGGGGAGAGTCGACGTCAGGCATGACGTTGCTCTGTGCATCAATCATGAGCCTAGCCAGATCTTCTCCCGTATCAACCTTGCGCCGCTTGTGAGACCCTCCGTCGGCAGCTTCAATGTCATTGGATTGATGCCGTCGACCGGCGCCGAGGAACCAGCGTACTCCACCCTCAACACCTGTCTTCCGTCCAACCGTGCCTACAGTGTTGGCAATGGGCGTCAAGTAGCCCTCTACATATTCGGCGCTGGATTTGAATCTCGGGGAAAAGTTTTTCGAGTTGTTGTAAGCCGATGTGGCACCTTCAATAGTGGTCGCGAGCAATGGATGCGATGTTGTCAAAAGTGAGAATAGGGGTTCTTCAGACTTGAGTTGTGGATTTGAAGTGATTGACACGGCCGGCGAGGCTCTCGGTAGAGGTGTGTGACGGGCGGGAGGGGAATTGATGAAGTCTAGACATGTTAGCTCTCGTAATTCGGTACAAGAAGGGCTTCGCGAACAACGAACCGGCGCGCAGATCCCCAAGTGCTTCAGCTGCCATGCGCACGTCGGGATCGTCCAGGCTGACACTGGCAGCGCGTCCTTCGTAAAACCGGTCTGGGGATGCTGCGCTCATGGCGCTATTGCTAACTACGTCGAGGTCCATTCGCGCAGGCGAGTCGGCGGGCTGGGCATGACTAGGTGTATAATACGTCGTGAGGGGGTTGAGGCTCGGCCAGTGGGTGAGGGGTACTGTTGTCGTCGAGGATCGCTTCAGGGAGGATGTGGTTGGTTGGGGTTGTGATTGCGGCTGGTGATGCTGATGTTGATGCTGCTGCTGCTTTTCAATAGGTTGAGATTGGGCAGCGATGGAAGTGAACCGCGGGGGCGGAGGACCTGTTACGGACGAGAGAGATGGCAGGTTGTGGCCGACGTTGTCATTGTGTTTGGCGGCAGGAAGGATGGGTGCGAGCTCGGTAGTCGGGGCGTCGGGAAACCTCAGCAGGTTGGGATCGTGGGATTGGGCATGCGCATAGCTGGGGGGAGCATATGAAGGCAGCTGGGACGGGAGATGTGTCGGATCAAAGCGAGCGTGAGAGAGGACGTGCTTGTTGGGTTGAGAAGCGGTGGGAATAGAGGTGGAAGCAGACGTAGAGGTAGCCGCAGAAGCAGACGCAGAAGCAGAAGCAGAAGCAGAAGCAGGTGGGCGGATGTGGTGCGTGTGGGCGAGGGACGAGGAGGATGGCGGCAGCTGGCGGTCTCCAGGCGCAGGCCCGTGCAGCATGTGATTTTGGCTCTGGCTCATGCTCTGGCTCAAATCCATTTCGCAAAGTATATTCGGACGGCGGCTCGAGACTTCGCGGGGAGGGGGTCGGCGGAGAAGCAGCAAGAGAGGGAGGAGCGAGACCGGCGCGGCTGTCTCAGCGGTCAACTATGGACTGGCATGAGTGGAGATATGACTCTCGTGTCCCGAGGCCGTTGTGATTCTGAATTTTTTGCAGATTTCCCAGTCGACGTTAGGGAATGTTGTAGTCTGCCTCGGTGCAGCAGTGTGCAGACGCGCTGGTCAGAACGAACGTGAGGGAGAGCAGACGAAGGGGTGGAAGTGGCTGCGGGCGGCGCGAGAGAGGTTCATGTAGTACGGTTTGGGCCAAAGGTGGCGAAGGACAGGCAGGACGACGGAGCGGATTTCGAAGCCAACGAACGAACAAGGGAACGAGGCGGCAGGAGATGTGGTTTCGGGGGACGACCGAGTGGAGGGCGGATCTGGAGAAGCGAGGGAGGGAGGGATGGTGGTGGTAATCGCAGGCGTAGCGTGTGGTGGTGGGATGAGTCCGGTCCGTGTATCTTGTAAAGTAGCGCGGAGCGTAGCGCTTGGGGGGAGGGTTGGTGTGTGTGTACCCTTTGGAGGGCACCTCTATTATTACTATACGGTGAGTAGTATGTTGCCTCGACCGAGAGGAAAGAATTGGGTGTGTTTGGGAAATGCGTGTGTAGGTACGTGAGTGTAAGAGTTGAAGTGTGTGCGGCAAGCGGGAGACCAGGAACCGTAGTAGATGTCGAGGGGGGAAGAGATACTGAAAGGTGGAGGTATGCCGGGGGTGGTGGTGTTCTGTCGATTTGGGTGACGGGTGATTGATGGATTGACGGATTGATGAATTACTTGATTTGATTGACGGGGGGTGGGAGAGAAGAGGTGGATGTGGTTGTGGTGATGGTGGGAGGAGGATGCTGTCGCACCAGAGCGCACCCAGGGTGAGGATGGACGGACGGGACGGGCGACGATGGGGGACGGGGGAGGTCGAAAGACTCGGGACAGGAAGGGGCGACGCTCACAATGCGAGGAACGAGGTAGTCACGTACCTCGTGCCTCCCCCAAAGCGAAAGAGAGGCAGGAGGCAGGCGGCGACAACACCGCAGCTGGCAGGCACGCGGGCCACACCCATTGCGGCGGGAAGGAGAAGGGGTCACTGGTGCATGTGGTGGGCTGGGATACTTGGAGGTACCTTCCTTTCGCAAGTCACTTTTGTCTTCCTTCATACCATATATTGCACTCATCTCGAAACCACATGTACTTGGCTTGCAGTACCCGGGTTCGTACCTTAGCCAGTCTCGCGGTTCCAGATGGTGAATGGATAAGGTACAAATGGGGACGGGGAGGGGGAAGGGGACCACAATGGAGTCGGTCTTGGGTAAGGTACGGAGTACTTGGGCACTTCGGTCCTCACCGTTGCCTGGGTAGGTACCTTCAGAAGCATTGGAAACAATTAATCAACGTTATATTCAATGAAGCCTGCTGTGGAAAGTCACTCTTGTATGTATTGAAAGCTAATCACTTCACTTCCTCTAGATCCTGCGCCAACTAACTTTCTCCAGTGCTAACCCAGAAGCTTTCCGTGGGGAAAAAGACATGAGACGGACACGGGAAAGTGTCCGTCAGCTGTACTCCGTACGCATACGGGGGAAAACAGGCGGCTAATTTCCTCAGGCTCTGTCACTCGGCTTTGGTCTCTCGCAGAACGGAGCAGTGCTGGTCGCTCCGACTTCCGAGTTCCCCATGTGAAGGTCCAGGCAATAGGTAATGTTATGCGCTGTCGTTGGTACTGTTTTCTGCCCGTCCATCTCATCTGCCCAGCGACTTGACTCCTATATTTTTCGCTTAAGTCGTTCCGTGGGGGGCCTGACTGAAAGAGACTTCTCGGCACCGTGATTGTGTGGCTGACTTGACTTGCGCGGGTAAGAATATATCATGATCACAACTCTATCCAACTGTAAGCAGACCGTCCCAAGACCCAGCGAGCATAGCCATGAGCTATCTCGTCCCGTGTCTCGAGCCTCTCGACTCCTCAGTGACTACAAATATAGTGCCGTACGTTGTGCTCCGTACAGCGCGAGGCACGCCGCTCAACGAGCAGGGGGTCGACGGCAGACGCAAGACCCAATCATTGTCCACATGGAAGTCCACGTTCCCGTTCGGGACAGGTCAGGCGGCACCGTCTGCGGTCCATCTCGCTGGGAGTCTGCAGGGTCCGAGGCACTGTTCCGCACTGGCAGCCGCTAAACTCGAGACAGAGATACGGGCCAACGCTACCTTGCTGCTGACATCTGTCAGTACTCTGTGTACCAATAGAGGGCAGTAGGTAACTCAGCAGGCAAGCCGCAACTCAATAGTGTATCCTAGATACTGGCAGTCTCACGCAAGGTAGCTTATCGTATGGTTCCATACCCCATACTCATGTAGGAGAAGTGAGGTGGTATCACTATCCTGCATCCATGGAACATATGCTTCGCCCGGGCCAGCAGCAAAAAAATAGCCGACGACAATGGGTGGGAGTCGGGTACAGAAACAGACGCGAACCTTAGCAGATTCAAGGCCAGACTCTGCAGGAATGCCGTGACAGAAACGGGATTCAGAGGGTGCCATTGCCACAGCTCTCGCTAGGGTACGAATAGGTACAGTGTGAGTGTATCCTTACGCCAATCGAGGACGCCAGTCTCTGGTGTCTAGGTCGTAAGGGTGTGCTGTCGGGTTCGTTCTTGTCTGACGATGTGCCGCTGGCTGGCCTGACATCTGCAGACTCCAGAGTGCAGACCGCAGTTTGGGTTTGCCGACCAAGACCAACTGACCTCGTTGTCGCATGGGATATTGTCTTTGTTTCTTTTTTCTTGAGCCACCATCAGGTCTTGACTGCAATGACTGGAATGTGAAGACTGCTAGACTGAGACCTGAGACTTGGTTGTCAGTTTGCGCCCAGACCGCCTGTAAGAAAAGTGAGGATGACCGTTTTGCTGATCGTCCAACAGCGAATCATGCAAGCTATTCTTCCGGCCAACAGCTGATGGCCTCTTCCTGGTTGTGACTTACAGGTATTCGTACTGTGGTGCACCGATGCCATTGTTAGTAAGAAAGACCCTAGCCTGTGATCTAGGACACACAGGGGGCAAGCCTGGGAGAGACTCGAAGGGGGGGAACAGGAGATCAGGGCCAAAGTTGGGGAAGCACGTGTCAGAGTTGTTGGGGCCGTCATCACATGCATCTGGCTGGGCTGGACGGGATGAACAAGTAACTTAGCATGTGCAGAAGTGGGTTATGTTAAGCTTTCTGCTGTGTTTCTCTCATAGATGCTATCAATTCGGACTGCCGGGTGTGTCACAAGGCATCAACTGACAACGGGCGGTGGCCGGGTCGCCCAGCCGGCATTCGGCCCCAGGCACAAACGAGGCTTCTTCGCTGTTTGATTGGCTTGTCGCTTCCTTCCTGCTACGTCACCCTGAAGCACGGACTCGCGCTTTCCATGTGAAAGCGAAAAAAAAATCTGGATAGAGGCACACACGGGCACAGAGGGAAGGAACCCACGGCTCAGGAGCCTTCCGCAAGTCGGGGATTCCTAGCTCACACTTGAGACGCGTTTCCGGTCACCTGTCTCTCCAAAAAGGCATCCGCGACTTGCAATTCCCGGTCCAAGTCCTTACATGAGCTTCACAAGTCCAGTTTGGTTCTTATCTTCCGCTGTGTGACTGACTGCCAGCCCTGCCTGCCCCCAAGAAGTTTCCCAGCCCGGGCTTCTCAAGTATCTTAGGCAATCATCCCACAGCTGCCGTTAAAGGCCCATAATCACGTGCGATTTGCTGCAACTCTGCTGACTCTTGATTCTTGGAGGGGAATTGGTGGGACTTTGCAGAATAGGTTGCCGGATGACCATGGCAATTTTCTCGAGATCCGCCCAAGGGTCCAGTTGTTCCCGCTGACGTTCTTCTCTGTGACGCCTTTTTCATGGATTTACCATGCCCTTTTTCATTTTTTTTTTTTCCACCTCTCCATCATCCGAGATTCCGCCGTTGCCGTCTTTACACCAACACCACATGCAAATCAAGGTACACCACCACACGTCAGATGTGTAGGTACCTAGCTATTAGCCACTGTAGTCTTTCCGATTTGCTTTGCAAGACTAACAGCCGGTAACCTGTATTTGGAGATTGGACTGCAAGATCCAATTTACACAAATCTTGCGAAACCGACGCCCAATCATGCACTTGAAGCACCAACGCAACCTTTCACCTTCACCCACCTGGCCTTATCAATAATCACCATCGGCATCGGGGTGCCATGCTGTACTGATTCCCGAAATGGAAACGCGCATCTTATTTGAACTTGATTCCAACTTTCAAGCTCTTCTTCCAAGTTCCCAGCTCCTGCTCGCCGGCTTACTTGCCTGTTTGCCCTGCATCGCACGACTCAGTCCTATCTGCTACCCGCCCATCCTGACTAGTTATCTGCCACAAATAGTGGCCATGTGATGACATCTCAGACCCGAGCAAGTGGATCAGCCGCGTTTCCACGGCCCTCGGAGCACGCTGCACGAGCTTAGAGCACGCAACAGCAAGCTGGCATGGTCGAGGACTAATCAAGCCTTCATCGTACCTCTTGTCGGCACCTACCCAGTAGCAACAAACTTCTTGTAACCCCCCGAAAGCCGAGAGAGACATTAGCCATCTTGGTTCGGAAGGCGTTTGTCTCTCTTGACTGGGGTCTATCTAGATCTGACAACGGGCCGGTCGGTCGTGCATCGCAACCTTTTCCTTGCGGTGAAGGCTGTCAGGAGGACATTGCATGAGGCTTCCTAACTCAAAAAGGACCCTTAGCTTCAAACAAGCGTACGAGCACCTGTCAAGACTTGTTGAGCTTCGAAGCAGGAACCTCGGCGATTGCTTCTGTCAGGAACACAAGATGCGTTCCATGCATGGAAGCTTGCTCGTGAAAATGTCTCCCCAGAATGTGTCTTGATCAACACTTCCACCAAGATTTATCCGACACAACTACAGTTCAGCAGTCGGGGAATCTGGTGGTTGCCTCGTCTGTCATTTCACAGCAGAAAAAGCGTATCAATTTAATAGTATGTGTGGCACCTCTGACGCCGCCCTGGCAACTGTACTCTTCACTCGAAAGCAAAGAGAAATGCATGGGCAGCTCTTATGGAACCGGAAGGTTTCCTCTGCGCGTCACGAAATCGCAATTCACATCAACGACGACACGATTGAGCCCAGCAGAATGCCAGTCCAAATGTGGTTGTAATAATGCGCTGCACTGTCTAAAAGGACGCGGTAGTGTGGAAAAGAAAGAAAGGAAGAAACATCGTGGAAAATTTTGGCCCGATGTAAGCAAACCGGAGACCCACTCTGGGAGTTGCAGATCATGTGACTTACCTCTGCAAAGTCATCTTACGTAAAGCTGCCTAATTCCAAGGATATTACCTAAGACGGCGGATTCCTTGAGTCTCCAAACAACATCAGCCATCTCCTTAGCCACAGTTATATGTGGCTGCATGACAGCTTGCTTTCCCAAGACGTAAGGCTGTCATTGTGCTGGTCCGTGCCCTTTTGACTCCAAGGAGACATCGTGGTTTCAATATCGCCAGCTATCTGTCAACGCGGCTCATCAACTGCACGACCCGCGAATAATGACAGCGTCCACCTCCAACTTTTGATCATTTGATAACACCACGAGCTGCCCGGCTGTACCAACTGCATGGAAGAGACTTCCTCACTGCCATAACTCCTCTGGCCAGCGTGCCAATTGACTCCCACCGCCTCTGCGCCTGCCCCTCGACCCCCGCCTTGGCAACCACTTCATCATGGCTTCCGCCGTGTTCTTTCTCGACTTGAAGGGCAAGGTGCGCATGACGAAGCCCATACGAAACTTTAGACACTCTAAAATGCTGATAATGGCTTGCGATAGACCCTTCTTGCACGAAACTACCGTGGTGACATTCCCATGTCAGCTGTCGAGAAGTTCCCCGTCCTTCTCAGCGAAGCAGAAGAAGAATCATCAGCTGTTCCTCCATGCTTCTCACACGAGGGTATCAACGTACGTGCCGACTTGCGGCTGTCTGCGCCCCTGAGTCGCATGTGGCATCTTAACTAACGAGATGCGAACCCCAGTACCTTTACATCCGACACAACAACCTATACCTTCTTGCCCTGACGAAACGAAACACCAACGCTGCCGAGATCCTTCTATTCCTTCACAAGATTGTTGAAGTCTTCACCGAATACTTCAAGGCCCTTGAGGAAGAGTCCATTCGCGACAACTTTGTCATCATCTACGAGCTTCTCGACGAGATGATGGACTTTGGCTATCCCCAGACTACCGAGTCCAAGATCCTCCAGGAGTACATTACCCAAGAATCCCACAAGCTCGAGATCCAGGCTCGCCCGCCCATCGCCGTTACAAACGCCGTCTCATGGCGTTCCGAGGGCATTCGCTACCGCAAGAACGAGGTCTTCCTCGACGTCGTCGAGAGTCTCAACCTTCTCGTCAGCGCCAACGGCAATGTCCTGCGCAGTGAGATCCTGGGCGCCATCAAGATGAAGTGCTACCTCAGCGGTATGCCCGAGCTTCGCCTGGGCCTGAATGACAAGGTCATGTTCGAGACAACGGGCCGGACGACACGCGGCAAGGCCATTGAGATGGAGGACGTGAAATTCCACCAGTGCGTGCGGCTGTCACGCTTCGAAAACGATAGGACCATTTCCTTCATCCCTCCGGACGGCGAGTTCGAGCTTATGAGTTACCGCCTCAACACCCAGGTCAAACCCCTGATTTGGGTCGAATGTGTTGTCGAGAGCCACAGCGGGTCGCGAGTTGAGTACATGCTCAAGGCCAGATCGCAATTCAAGAGGAGGAGTACGGCCAACAACGTCGAAATTATCGTTCCAGTCCCCGATGATGCCGACACTCCCCGCTTCCGAACCAACATAGGCGCCGTTCACTACGCCCCTGAGCAGAGCGCCATCGTGTGGAAGATTAAGCAGTTTGGTGGCAATAAAGAGTTCCTGATGAGGGCAGAGCTGGGACTGCCCTCGGTACGAGGCGACGATGAACATGGTGGTGGTATGACTGGTGGTTTCGGTGGTAGTATGGGTGGCGTTGGTGCGCCTGGCAAGGGCGCCAAGAGGCCAATCCAGGTCAAGTTTGAGATCCCCTATTTCACGACGAGTGGTATCCAAGTGCGTTACCTCAAGATTACAGAGCCAAAGGTAAGCCTTTCCCCCTTCGAGAAGTTTGAGGGGCCGTCATTTGCTAAATCTTGACAGCTGCAATATCCCTCGTTACCTTGGGTCAGATACATCACCCAGTCAGGAGACATAGCTGTGAGGTTGCCTGACGCGGTATGAGACGGGCGGTTATCGGTTTGGTTGTAACGCAATACGAGCTCGAAGGGAGTCAGTCTATTTCCCATCAACGCGCTACTATTCTATTGAGCGAAAAAGTGAATTGAGGTTACACAAAACACACATCGGCTGGTGGGCATGGGCCATAGACACATCCAGGAGGGAGCAAGGTAGATGCGTCAATGCTTCCGGGCTCTCAAGAGCCGTTGGGTGAGTACTTACTGGGCCAAGTAGACAACCCGCGTTCACTAGGACAAGTAGGAGGAAGCTTTCAATGATGATGTAAAGTTCAATATTTCGAAGATCTGTGCGGCCTAGGATACATGCCCTGCGTGTGTCTGCCCCTGGGAGAGCTTCATCCTTCCTTCTCCAACGTCGTTCGTTAATCATAAGCATCGTAAGATCTCTTCCCTCAACTCTGAGAGCACCACACTGAATGAGTGAGATATTCAATTGGGTATAGATATTGTCAAGAAGTTGCCCAGACAAAGGAAAAGAAAACGACGCAATCCTACGTCGTGGTGTGGAGTAGAGATATTCATCATCGGCGATCTTTGATGGCACAGCCTTGTCGCTCGAAATTCCCGATAGCATCGAGGGTCGAATTGGTGTTGATGTTATAGCTATCATAGCAGACATGTACCATCACACCCCGCGGAGAGCCCATGGGATCGGGATCTAGAGAGTTGGAAGTCAATAGCAGCACACCAAAGAATTCACTGATGTAGGTTCTTTTCCCTTACCAGCCTGGGGACATCGGCTTCCTGTCCATTGGTGCCTGTTCCATTGGCCTTGGAGAAACACATCATCCATGCGTTCATGTCTTGTCGTGAGGGCGAGGAGAGCGATGATGATAGCAAAGCTGCCACCAAGGCCGGTGGACTGGGGAGCTGCTGGATCCGGCGTGGCGAATATGTCTGGCAAAATATGGGGTATCCAAGACGGATTCCTCCCAACAACATGTCTTTGGGACCCGCCAGGGACGATGATCCGAGTAATGCCCGTATTGGGGCGGTCTTGATGGAATTCTAGGTTGTGCCAGAATGGGTCATCCACTGTAGACACGTCGACGTCGGTGAATCTGCATGGGAGGAAGCGCCAGCAGTTGAAGACGCTGCAAGTCTGGTATTCCATCATCGGTTTAATGTCTGGTTGAAAGGTCCCATTCACGTCGAAATGCCCTCCTGTTGGACCCCAGATACCTCCGGGGCTTCCCACATCCGGACGATGCCAGATAAACTCACTTCCAGCTTGACTGACGACGCCATTCTCATACCGCCAGACCAGACCGGCAATCTCTTTACCATAACCATCAGCGGAGTTGGGTGGGAGAATATTGCCGTATATATCGACATTGTCATGTCCTTCGAGGATCTGAAGTTCGTTGACCACGAAGAGAAAGCTGCAGCTTAGAATATCTTGTTTGCTGCTGGACTCTCTTGGCTTGTGTCCTTTTTCCTTCTTTTCTCCCTTCCTTCCATGTTTGTGACTTCCACTCCGCTACCTTTGTCAGAGGTTTTACTGATCCGAGGCACAGGAGGCGTGGGTACATACACTTGAGTGAGAATACATATCCTACTGGCAAATAGGTCCGGCAGGCAGCGGCTAAGATTGCTAGCGCTAGAGGCTGGATACCAAGTCCACGATGTTTGCTGCGATTCTGGCTGGGTGACAGTTGCTACTGTCAAGTGAGATTTGAGTGATCTCGTCAGAAATGACAGAGATGATGGATTCCCGGGTATTATGCAATCATTGTACCTTGGGGCCTGACGATGTCGTGGGTCATGCCCGATGAGGTGGTCTGATATTCTTCAACCTGCGATGCGTCAAGTATGCAACCCCTATTCTTACTTGCAGCCCTGAGCACTCTACAAGTCCAGGGTCCGATTGGGACAACATGTTCTTGAAGATCATTAGAGCCCAATCCAAAGTTGCTGACACCTTGTTGACGACAATGGACACGCGTGAGACAGAAACGCAGAGTTCTGATCTACCTCAAAATTCCTGATCGCGACGAGGGCGTAGGTCCCGTGGTCACATGTCGTTTGGCCTATACTCGGCCACGTTGCGCCGGTGAAGAATGGCTGCATGACGCGCTGCAGAGACACAACTATGCGATTGCAAGATGAGAGGGCATGGGAATCTTCAGAAAGCGCGTCTCGCTGTTTCCTCGGCTCTGTCTACCTTTGAGCCGGCGCAACCCAACGAATAGAGCTTGGCTAACCATTGTGCCGCCGGCTGCTCATTGGAGCACGCCTGTCCTGGAGTCATACAGAGGCTTGCTTGCTGTTGGGTTGAAATCCAGGCCCAAGACGCCCAAGTCTTCCTGCAACTCCGTGTGTGGGCTTCAAAATCGTCGAGCGTGATTGCAGGAGTGCTGGCATCGATAGTAGATCAAGCGTGTAAGGTTGTGGCCCATGAGGTGGACGTTTGTATGACTTGCATGACGCTAAACCAGTCAGGTCCCTGTGTGTGATTGGGGTGAATGGATCTGGAGCCAATGAGCTTGTCGACGATTTCACTTCTTTGGCCCAGCCTCGGGAGCTCGGGCTCGGCCGTCGATGCTGGAGAGGTTCGGCCAGAGACCGACTCGAGGTGGGAGCTGCAATAGATTGTGGCTGTCAACTCGACGGCCGTATTGGTGGACTGCTTTCTGGTCGGTCATGGATCCCTGGTCGAAGGAAACACCATACCTCCTTCCCTGGCTATGACTAGGCCACTGTCGAGGAGCCAGATTCAGCCATCACTGCAAAGAGAGTAGCGTCATTTGTTCATATGTCCATCAGATCATGAAGCCCAACAACCCCAGAATGCCCATTGCACCGAATGGAAACTTGGAAAGCTTGGTCGTTTAAACATGCCATACGTTGTGAAGGCTCGACGTGGCATCTCTGCGAAAGTGCCGAAGACTCGAAGTAGGCAAGGTTGACGCGTGGTGGGGAGGTTGTAGCGGCGGTAGGGAAGATTGGGTATCAAGCGGTGCCATACGACATTGGAATCGCACCAAAACGCCATTTGGCCTCGTTTATCTCGTGGTCGAACATAGTAGTGGGGAGAACTTCAGAAGCGAGATCAGAATCATGATAGAAGCCACTGTCTATAAAGTCTAATGAATTGTTTTATGTCCTCCTGGAATTTGATGAGGTCAGACCTCACTCTGACATCGCGGTTTTTCTAACTCATCCGGGGACGAGATATTGGAACAACATTGGATGGGCATGTCTGTGTGATCTCGGTGAGACTCTTCCTCGTAGCACTTCGCTGAGAGAAAGAGGTCGCACGAAACCTTGAAGGCCTCGTCTTTCAAGATTCATAGGTCTATCTGAAGTAAGCACCATCGACATTTGTTCCATGATCATATCGTAGACTCGTGTATTCGTGAATTGGTGTGCGGCAGGCTGGCTTGGAGTGTCCCATCCATCCGTATTCCTTCGTCATCGACTGTAATCGGTCGATATCGGGCACCCAGAAGGGCCTATCGGGTGGAAACACCCCCCGCTGAGCTAGGGACCGGTCAGCTCAAGTGCGGGGGTTCATTTGGAGTGAAGCGAACTGGTTTCGCTTGCCAACAGCAAGTTATGGCGAACCAACGCCATGTTGGGAGGGCCGCAGTTGGTGGGCATGTCTCTGACTGCGGCGGCGTGGCCAGTGACTCGGGTCGGCCAGGATTTCCGACATATCCGACAAAATGAGCTTCTCATTGCGGCACGGACTCTAGTAACATACCTCCAAGACATAAGATAGGGAAAGGAGGCAACAACTTGTGTTTTCGGAGGCACACATCATGAAGCGGTGTAAGTGGGACTGCTTGTGTAACGTTGAATTTGACATTTCGCAGCCAGGCAACTCCCGGCCGCTTGAGCGCAAGGAAACTACATACTTTCCCGCCTGGCTTCATTCCCCCACTCGTTCTGTACGGAAAGAAATCAATGTCGCACCCTTTTGGAAGCTCTGTCCGCCTCTTCCTCGCCAGCAGCCTCCTCCACGGAACCGCTGGTACCCACCACTTGAAGGGCCTCCTTCAGAAGGCGCTTCTCGCCAAGCCTTACCTCGACAGCCATTCTTTGACGAGGTGCCAAGCTGCTCGATGCCAGCAAACCCTCATCTTCCTCGGCTGTCGTCGGGTACTGCGCCAGAAGCTTTTGCAAGGTGGACACAACAACGTGCTGGTAGATCTCGTCGCGTTTCCGCTTGTCGGGAATGAGATCAGCATTCATCTTCTTGAGAAGCTTCAAGATACCCTTTAGCTGCTCTTCAAGCTCGGCAGAAACCTCCTGGACCTTGGCGGGGGTTGAGAGCCGTCCCT